TCTAATATTTTTATTATTCCTTTAATCTTTTCTTCCTCCTTGATATACGATAAAAACGGTTTTACACAGCCCTTATTACGATCTAATTCGTTCACACGTGTTTTAAATAACTCATTAAAATTTCTAAGTAATTGTGTAAAACTCTCGCTATACTTATTTTGACTCCTTTCTAGGAATTTCTTCTCATTATTAATTTTGTCAAGGTCCGATTTGTTAGGACATGACTTGTTTTTAAATTCGTTTAAAGCATGATATATAACATCTAACTTTTTAAATATTTGATATATGTCATAATTAAAATCACTAAGATTACTATCGCACTGTGAAAATAATGGATAAATCTGATCTTTGAATTCCTTATCTCTGCTTAAGCTCTTCATTGCTTCATAACAGCTTTTAGTGTCTTCACATTTCCATTGATATTTACTCAGTAGATCTTTTAGCTTATAAAAGAAATATTTGCAACATGCATTTAACTCAATACTTGTTACTTTAATATATATATGGTTCAAATAATAAGTAACAAGTTGGCAATCTTTAGCGAAGGGATGAACATCAGTACCAACAGTTCTATAATCTCGGTTAAAATTACTACACAATTTTGTTAAAAAGTTAGGAACAACACCATGAGGAGAAACATTATTCCACTGAAATCCATCTCGACATTTGGGAAATATATTACTAAAATCAAACTAAAAATAAAAGTATTAAATAATTGAAAATTATAAAATAATACTTTTAAATAGAAATAATCTCTTGTTTTTGAAAACTAAGTATAAAATAAAATTAAATAATGTAAATTATATCTACATTAATATATAGAAACATACCGTATGTGCCTTATTTTCGGAGGTATCCATTATATAAATATTAGTTCATTAATTCGTAAAAATACATTATTATTTTTATATATTGTAAAACCAATGTATCAGTATAACTATTATTTTGATAAGATATAATATATATCTTATAATTAATAATTGTTACATCATTTTATTAAAATTTTTTTTTTAATTTTTTCATATATCAATCTATCATAGTAATGCACCACGGGAACTAACATTTTAGCGTATTTATGGATTTTAGCAAAATAGCAATATAATATTTCAAATTAATGATAGTATACTATAATAAAAAATGCGCGCATCATATTCTTATGTATACAATTTACATCAATATATTTATTCCCTCATTGATATATTAAATAAAAAATATATTTATATAAAAAAAAATTATTTTATATAGTATATTTTTTTACACGTATTTAGTTTCCATTAAAAATTGAGTAAAATTATAATTATCTTTTTGTAATATACATACTTATAATTTATACATAAAGGATTATAATTTATCACTTTTTTTATCATTATATAAAGAATCATATATATATATATATATATATTAGTGTGCTTTATCGTAATGAATGTTAATAAGAAGTCAATCTCTTAGAGATTTGAATAGGTAATTTTATATTGTTGAAAATTCAGTACAATATATAATAAATTGTGATTTAATATAATAATAATGATTACATATATTATAGCTAAATTATTTCAAAGGATTGTATATTACAGAAAGTATTAATGTATTATATTTGATATATACTTTTATTATAAAGAATAAATTTATTAATATTTGTACTATATTTATGTGCATTTTATAATTAAACGATATATGCTTTCCTGGTATAATATATTACGAATGTTAAAATAAGCAGTGGAAGATCATTATAAAATACTTATTTTTTAATATATCGAATTTATTTTTATTTTATCATATCTTATAATTTTATTTAATATTCAAAATTTCAATTTCATTATTTAATTTTTTGCTAATTATATAAAATAAAGCTATATGTGCTATTTATACTGAATAAATAATTACGAATGCGAAACGAAATGAATGCTGGAATATATGTATTAATATATAAGTATGATATATGTAGAGAAAAAATTTTTCATTAATATGGATCAGTAAGGAAGAAATATGGTTTTTCATAATAATTATTTCTTCATTTTTTTGACTTATTTGCTTAAAATCCAAAAAGTTATAAATTATTTATTTAAATCAGAAAATAATTTACATGATAAATCTTAACATCATAGATTATCATTTGTTCAATTTTATTTTTTATATTTGAATAATATATCTTCTATAAAAACATTTAAAAACTACAAATAAATAATGATATAATTTTATAATAAACATAAAATATACGATTATGCCATACAATAACGATTCCATTTTTTATATAGAGATTTTTATATTTAATTCTTCATTAATACAGTATTTATTAAATATATTATTACTGATAATAATAAGATATATTAAAATAATTTATTTTTAATTAATAATATATAGATTTATATATTTATTCAAATAGTATACTTGTCCCTTGTAGGTAACGTCACACATAACAAAAAATTGAAAGGTGTATAAAAAATAAATGTACATAAATATATAATTTTTACTTTTTTATTACAAAAATTAAAAGCTTATATATGATTTATTATATAATACATTAGAAAAATCCTTTTTTTTTACAAAATGTATATTCTTGTAAAGTACAGTATATAATATTATATATGAACTCTGCACCTAATGATAATATATACGTAAATGTGATATAATAAGGAATGATAATACATTGAAATATTACATGATACATATTTATTTTCTCTGTTTTATGAATAATCAAGTTCATTGGATTATTATATTAAGAAAAATTTTATATAATGGAAATATATAAAAGTTAAAAAAATTAATATATAATGAAGAAATGAGTACGTGTTGCATAAAGATTTCATTAAATTCATTAAAACGTTATATTCATTAATAAGTGATATGAATGAAATGGATAGATAATATTAATTGAGATGATTTCTGAAATTTGTATAGTGCACATTAAATTGTGTTCTTATATTATTATATATTGCCCAATGAATTTTTATAGAGAAAAAAAATTAATATATGAATATGTACCAAATTCATCAGGCATGATTATATATAGAAAATATATAATATATAATGATTACTGAATGATAAAAATATAAAAGTAAAATAAATAATTTTTACTCTTATTAGTATAAGTTCAGGATTATACATCAAACAATTAATATATGTTCATATAATTTTTATGCTTGAAGAGTAGGTATTCTCAAAAAAAATGTAATATATAACACCATTTTAATACATTTGATAGTAGTTATTATTTTATCTTTTAAAGTTATATCTATCTCTACTTACTGAGTTACCCCAAAATATTTGTAAATGGAAAATCAATTAAGAGTAATATGAAAAATACATGCCCCGAATGTAAAATATAAAAATGAGTGCATAAAAAATTCAGAATATTTGGATTAAATATATACTTTTTAAATATGAATTATGAAATATTATTATATTCTGAAAATTTTTCATATTAACAATAACATTTCTTAAGGACACGTAAAAATATTTTATAGAAACATAATATATTTACAGTTATACATATGCTAAAAATTTTTGAAATATAAATATACAATTGGAAAAATCGTGAAAAAGGCTTAATAAGTCTACTTATCAAAATATTGTATTATTAATTAAATATAGAATCTACATTAAATATTAATGCATATACCTTTCCTACATTTGATTACATACATTACGAGTTATATTAGAAGCTTCTTAAGCACATAAATAGCAATTACTCATTATTTTAACCAATAATTAATAAATGATTTTCATAATATATATGAGTTTTAAATATTTGACCTTAATAATATATATGAAATATATAAACATCATATGAATTTTCAATACATAATTATAATATTTAAAATATTTTCGTGGTTAAATCAAAAATAGTATTTATAATTTGTTAATATTTATAAATAATAATTGCTCATATACATTAAATAAAATTTATCTCTCTAAACTGTATAACATGAAAAATTATTTTTATAATGTTATGCTAAGCATATTATGCAAAAGTGCTTCAATTTTTTTATATTCGTCATTAAATATTAAATTCTTGCCTAGGTTCTAGTACAATATAGTTCCATAGTTTATTTAACATTTTTTACATTTATTACTTATAACATACATATTCCATTTTTTATATTAATTGGTCAGTTATAACATATTATTAAATAAATATTGAATTAAATATTTCTTATTTATATATATATTGGTTTTAACGGGACTATTATATTCTTAATTACAAAAAAAATTTCCATAAAATTTGTGGGAAAATAGTTAATTAATACATAAAATGAAAATGAGTAGAAAAATAAATGACACAATTAATTGTGTATAGAATAATTTTAATATCTACGCACAAACCAGAGATGAGTCATTATAATATATAGAATATAATTTTCGTAGTGTACGAAATAAACATAAAATGAGGAAATAACATCTATTTTTAATATTACATATAATGAGTGACACGCGTTCAGTTCAATATCTAAAACACATACAGGTATAAATATTATACGCAAAAGATCAGTAATAAAATATATAAATTCTTTATTAAATAATCTAATATATAGGAAAAAATAATGTAAAATATCTGATTTTAATCACATAATTAATCATAGTACTTAGCGCGTTAGATTAGATATATAATGAATAATAATGTATTAAATTTATTAATAATATTTATAAAAATTATAAATATAATAGTGATTACAAAAGTAAAGTTGTACACATACTTCACAAGAATCTAAAGGTATCTTCTAATTATGATAATACAGGAGCACCAAGTTAAACAACATATAATACATATTTTTCAATGTAAATATGAGTTTTTAACTTCCATATATATAGTGCATTATAAATTTAATGGAATTTAATACACTAAAAAAACATTAGATACATTACATTAACATATACCGAAAATTAAGCATTTCTTAAATATAGAGTGGATTTAAGAATTAAAATAATACAATTTTTATTCATGAATTAATAGGCATATAAGATACTCCTATAACTATTATATTATTTATACAATTATATTGTATTATAATGTTGTAATTTGCTTTTTATTAAATTTTTCTATATATTTTTTTCATTCTTTTCCATCAATATGTAGTATAAATAACATTAAAAACTGTATAAATTAAAACAGTAAAAAGATATTTCTTGTGTAATATTTATATATTTATTTTACGTGATATTACACATCCATTTCAGGGGGTTCTCTTTCATTAAAATTTTACTATATTCCTTATATGAGATGGGGATTATTAATATAATTATTTTATTTGGCATACCTTTTGGAATTATTTGCATCATGCATAATTTCAATAATTATAATATCAGGTAAGTATATATGTACACATATATTGTATTTATTTGAGGTTTTTATTAAATAATATATTTATTTCTATGTATATATAGACTTAATAAACATCATAAAATTACAAAAATTGTTATTTATGAACCCTACAAGCTTATTTAAATTTTGATACTTCTATTTTAAGTTATCATTCTATAATATATAACAGCTATTAATTTATATTAATAATTTAATTTTTACTTGAGTTATTTCACAATAATTATAATTCATTTTATTACATTTTTTATCATTTATTATTTCATTATTTCTCTTAATTTACAGAAAAAATATAATTTATTTTATAACTTAATTGTAATTTTGTTTTATGTTTTTCTGTATAATTATTTATTTTATCGTACAAATATGCATATAAATTATTATGTTACTCGCATGAAATTATATTTAATTCATTAATTTAATCATTGTTTTATTAAGTATAATCTACTGAACAATATTCTATTCTATAATTCTTATCAGTAGTTGTTTTGTATGCACCATCGAATGAATTTAATAATGTAAGTTATTCTTCATCTTTTTTATTAAATATCTTTTTACTTTCAATATCAATGTTCGTAAATATGATCTGTAAGATGTATACTAATATTAAGCAAAATATATTGTACTTATGTGTATAGGTCATATATTAGATACAAATTTCCTAATAATGTGCAATATAAATTTTATATATATTATATAAACTGAATTTGTGCTCAACCTTATATAAAATGAATATAATTGTTGATATTTCAAATGTTATTAAAGTTATAGTTAAAAAGTATCTCTTATATGTGTGATCGATGGGGAATGTGCAGGTTCAGAATCATCTTTTTGTGGAAGGGTGGCTACAGAATCATCCTGTTGTGGAAGTGTGGTTTCAGAATCATCTTTTTCTGAATGTTCAACTATATTTTTTTTTAATATATTTCTGTTTAAATGATTGCAATGCTTTGCAAAAACTTTTGCTATTCTCACTATTACAACCACTTGAAATTTCTTTGTATTTATTAAAATATCTACTATTCTCAGTGCAGATGTCTTGTATAATACAATTATATAGTTCATTAATTTTGTCAAATTTCTGAAATGTGTCATTGCTAATATCCTTAACATATGATTCACATATATTAGGCACACTCCTCGAATTTGTTTGATCCCGCTGCATTTTCATTATACTATATGCATTTTTTGTGCTATTATAGGTATATTTATAATCATTTAATAAATGCTTTAGCATATAGCTGTAATATATACAACTACGTTCTATATTAGTAAGATAGCTTTTTTTTTTTTATATAATCTAAATAGAGAACAAGCTATTTAAATTTTTTTATGAAAGATTCACTCATACCTTGACGACGATCTAGAATAATCATAATCATAGGACATGCATTGTTAAGTTTATGATCATTATTTATAGATTTACTCAGATGCGTATTAAAATCATAGAAACATTTGAGAAATATATCCTTAAAATCAAACAATAAATTAAAGTCATAAAAAATACAAAGTATCAATGTAATACTTAAAAAATATATTTCTTTTTGTTCTTCGATACATAACAACATTTACAACTAATGTAATATAAATTTTAATACATATAATATGTGGGAACTCATGTCTTCATATATATCTGATGATGGAAACATTGCTTAAATTTAATAAAATGAAAATAAGAAGTTTATATTTTCGCTATTTATGGCTTACGTGCAAAAGTATAGTGTTCTTTTTTTAAATATAATATTTTGTTTTATTTTTAACACGTTGAACGTAATACTATTTATTTTGATTTTATAAAATTTATTTAAGTGTGTAATTTGTATATGTTTTTTATAATATAATTAATAGTATGTATTATTAATATAAGCATTATTATAATTAATTATTATGATATTATGGAATATAAGTAATTAATAAATATCCTTATTCTTAATTATATATATTTATTTTTTCTTATATATTTAAATATTATAGATCCACTGATTTTATAATATAATAATATAATACATGATTTTGCACTATTAATTGTCCGAATGTTTATGGTGTTATTTTCTTTTAATTTTTATAATAGCATGTGTTATAGTTTTATTTCTACTATATTCCTGTTTTTTTATGTAATAATATATACAGCTAATCTAGCTACCTCTGCTTATTCCTTATATCATGAATTTTAAATACATAATCATTATGTATATTTTATATATATTTTAAAATCTATATTATATATACTTTATTCTTATTATTATTATAGTTACAATTATGCTTTCAGATTGATATTATTAAAGTTATTTCAATTAAATTTTTATAACATTTAAATATAATATTTCAATAAAAACAATTAATATTTATATATAAACAGTTATATTGCATTTTATTATTGCATTATAGCAAATATTATTATTACGCATTATCATATTTTTTCATCTAAATTATTTAAATAGTGTATATTATCCTGCACTACGTAAATATATAATTCAAATATTGTATTGTACTTTATTAATGGTAATTTAAAGTAGAATTTATTTGAGCATATTGAAGAAGCAGTTTGTGGAAGCAGAAATATTCATTTTATAATTTTTAAAATAAAAAATTAATTTAATATAAATATTATAAAATGTATAATTTTTATTCTATAAATATCACACTGAAAGAATTTAATTAATATTAGCATATATGAAATTTTTTCATGATATAATAATTATTATATTTGAAGTAAGAAAAATAATAATTGTAATATTTCTGAATTTTATAAGATATTTAATAAATTTTTTTTCTTCATGATAATAAAATATTTAATGTTATATACATATATATATATAATATTTTTTGTTCTTTAGTTAATAACTGATATTCAATGTTATATGAAAGAGTTTGTTTATTATATATACCTTATGAAAAAGTTATACAATAGTGTGCATAATTATTATTATATAACATTTTTAGCAAAATTACAAAGAAAAAATATATCAATAACATAATGCATTAACAGAACAATTATGCTAGTGTTACAAAAAATTACCATGAAAATTAATAAAATAATGTGCTGTTAAGCAGATAAAATTATATGTAAACAATTAATCATAAAAAAATCAATATATAAAAATCGTAAAATGTAAATAATATAAGGAATTATTAGGAAATATTTCTTCTCTCTCTCATATAAAATATATGTGTTATAATATTTGAAATTATTTGTTAGCCTATATAATTCATCTTAAAAAACCATTATAAGGTATACAAATATTCATATAATTTGAATAAGAATATACACATAGATAAATAGTATTCTTTTAAGGTAATTCTTTTTTATGATTATTAAAGAAAAATATATTTTTCCTTTATGTATTATTATGTTCTCCTGATGATTAACGGTAAATAAGTAGCTTGTATGTATATATTTACAATGTGATAAAAAAAATATATTTGGAATTAATTTAATTATCATTTCTTTTAAAAATTTTTATAAAAAAAATAATTTCAAAAAACATATATCACTATAATATTGTATGAAATATTTTTCAATATATTTTTTCTTATGCATAATATTTTATATAAAGGAAAAGAAATATATTCATTATCGTAGAAGGAAAATATTATTTGGATTAAAGAAATAAATGAATCATTATTATTCAGAGTTTTATATAGTTCAAAACATGATAACTTATTGAAAATGTATAAATAATGTATAGGAAAATTAGATTGGCACATATTATGTAAATGGTAAAAGGTATTATAAATTAGAAAATATTTGTTAAAAAGTAACAGCTATGATGAATGCATACATTCATTATGACATGAAAAAATGAATAATATTTTATGATAAAGTTGTAATACCATAACAAATTATATAAATTATTTATTTTTATTAGATTTAGTTATTATATGGATATTCACTAATCTTGTTCCTTCAAGGTTATTATATAATTCCAAAGATTTTTTTTAACAAATGTAAAACTAATATACTATATTAATTTTATTTATAATTAGTTATGACTAATAAATAATCCATATATAATTAATATACTTGTATAAATTGTACATAGTTTTGATGTATTCATTATTTTTTTTCCCTAGTACTTCAAATTAGTATATACTGAATTTGTTAAAAAACGTTTTAGACAAAATTCAATTATTTACACTGACATAATGTTTTCCCTATGTTTATACAAATTATATATGTTATATGCAAAAGAAAAACTTTTCCAAATTTTTTCTATATAAATTTTGTAATGCTCTCTTATAATTGTTATATATGTATAGACTGAATGAACATTTGTTATTATTTAAATAATATAAATGCAAAAATGATTTTAAACAATATAATGACTGCATTCAAAAATTACACAAAATAATGCATTCTATCGACTAATATATATATATATATTATTATATTTTATTATGTAAAATGATATTAAATATATTATATATTAAATCAATTTTTGCCTAATATTGTTTTAAATTTTTTTATATTCTTATTAAAATGTAGTTTTTGAAATCTTTATAAAAACTGTAATTAATATTCTAATTTTATTCCTTTATTATATGCTGCATTATTTAACGCGTTTGATTTACATGTGAACACAATTCTTTATTAGTATTTCTGTATTATTAGTTTTTTATATTAATATATTAGGATAGATATTTTTATTATTACATATTCATATTAAAGTAATACATTTATTTTCTCATCATAGATAATTGCTTAATATATTATACTATTCATGCTAAATAATGTATTATTATTCTATGTGTTTATTTTATTTTTTCCTTTAAGACATAATTATATTTCTTGCTACAATCCAATAATAAATCAATTATTGATTTAGAAATTTAATATTATATCACAGTAGATATAGTATTATATTTGAATATTACTATTTCCAAATATATATTAATATTATTCTATAATTATCAAGTTATATATACAGACAATTACATATTTTATTTTTTGATGTTAGATACAATAGTTTTTACAATGAAATAAATCATAAAAACTGATATTTTATATATTACATTAAATTATAATAAACGTGGAACACTATTTTAATATTTTTATCATTATATTTATATGTATTTTCACTTATATAAATTTTTCTGTTTTATAAAAAATATATTTTTAATATTATTATTTATTCCTTAGAACAAAATATAATTCATCCATTGCAATTATGTTTTAATAATATTAGTCTTCTGACACATAAGCTCTTCGATAATTATTATCTTTTGTGTAATTATATGTCATATCAAATGAATCTAATAAGTTCTCATTATATATATATATATATGTTTTTTAATATTTTTATCTTTTCTACTATAGTTTTTTAAAAACAAACCAAATGTAGTATACTAATAAAAGAAAACCAATGTATTATTTTGATGAATAACAAATTGAGTTAAAACAATTTTTGACAATACTATGTAACATATATTTTAAGATAATATATATTTAATACATTAAATTAAATATTTACCTTATAAAGAATAAATATACATATTAAAAGTACAACAGTGAAAATACCCACACCTGTGCCTGTATCTATACCTGTAACTGCATTTTCACTTCTACTTGCACTTGTAACTAAACTTTTATCTGTAATTATATCTTCCTTTGTTTCTGTCACAGAAGATATCTCTAAAATTTTTGCGGCAATATCACACTCATTAGATTTCTGAATATATCCATTGTATTCTTTTTTAAATTTATCTAATTCTTCTGTAAAACTTCTGTTATCATTCATACTTTCATAATCATCCAAAAGGATTTTATACTGTTTAAGTATAGTATTAACGGAATGACAAATGTCTTTGATTTGTTCAAATTTTCCATAAATATTATGTAGTTTCCCCAAAATTTGTAATTTATTATATGTATCATCATCAATATCATTAGCGTTGGCATAATTTAGACATATATCAGAGAGAGTGTACGAATATTGAAGTCTTCTTCCTTCCCTAATTTATTTATAATAATTTTCTATTGTTGTTTTATGTTTACCTCCATATATTTTCACTAGGTCAACTTGTAAAAAAAATATTTACAGCTTGCTTCTAGGCGAGAGTTACTTTTTCCTATATGTTCATCTATATATTTTAAATAGTAAAGAACATCTCTACAAGATTTATCAAGATCCATCTGTGTTCCCTTACTATAATCTATATACTTACGAAATTCATTGCAATATTTTGAATAATCATTATAATGATGCTAATCCCATCTATTTATAGCATGTCTATTAAAGTCAATTGTGCAATGGGGGAATATATCCTTAAAACTAAACTAAGAATGAATGTAATTAAATATATAAAATTCTTTAATTTTTGGGAAAATATTTTTTGCTTGCTTTTTACGAACATATGTATTTTAAAATTATGTAATATAAATTATAAACCTATGAAAAAATGTAGACATGAAATTTCATTCACCTCATTAGATCCACTCATTATGTTTTATACATGTTAATTATTACAAACAATTTTATATATATTACATTAAATTTTTGTTCGTTAAAAGTATAGGGAAAATATATTATATTGATAATGCATATAATAATTCATATAACTTATAAATTTTAGAAAAAATATTTTTAACTATATTCATATTTTGCTCTTATTATAGATTAATTTATTGTAATGTTTCTTGTTCATGTTGATATGCACATTGTTTTCTGTAAATTACTAGTATATAAAATTAATAAACTATCTAGTAAGTATGTACTACTATAAAGTAATAAAAATTATTCATAGATTATTTTGACACATATAACACTATTATTATAAAGTAATAATTCCTTCTTAGAAATATAAAATAATTCATATATACAATAACATTATACAAAGACCTTTTTATATATATATTTAATTTCATTTATATAGTTATTCTTACAAAATATAAATTCTTAGTGCTTATGTTTTAAAATATAGTATTCCTCTTATATATATATAATAATTTTTTTAACTATAACCTGACGATTTAACTTAATTTACATAAACTATAGTTAAATTCATTATTCAATATATACTAATGATATAATATTATATATAGATTTATTCGAGTATATAATGTAATTTAAATTATTATTATTACCATATATATGAGAATTTAATTATTCTTAATTAATGTATTTTTTTTTGCATATCCTGATTTATGATATGAAAAGATTTTATGATATTACAGAATATATAATTAACACATATATACATATGATTTTGATGTATAAAATAAAATTACAATTAATTAATATATGAGCCTGAATATTTTTGAATTTCACATATCTCCCACTTGATATGTACAATAATGTAAATACAAACGATGTGCTCATGTAATAACCATAAAATGCTATTTATTTTAATATATAATAAATTTATATACTCACTTAATATGTCTATATTATGGATGAAATTACATTTTATTTATTTTTTTATATTTATTTAATTTTTTTTCTTTCTGTAATCATTAATAAGTATAATTATATATACATCATATGAAAAATATTCGCTTATTAAATAAATTTTTAAATTATAAGTTCTTTTATATAAATAAAAATGAATACTATTTAGAACAATTCTTTTTATTACTGTGGATACAATATTATGGATATTTTGTTTAATATTATATATTTTATTATTTTGCTTACATTATTTGTTCAGTTGCATAAATGTGTAAGCAACTTATACATAAAGAAATTATATTATATATAAAATTTCATCAAAATAGTGTTAAATTTTCTTTAATTTATAAAAAAATAATTTTATAGAAAAAAATTCTTAATTTATTATAATATTTTTTAAAACAAAGCTACAATATTATTTCACTAAAACCATCAATATCTTTAAATTGGAAATTTTATAAATTCTATATGAACGCTACATAATAAAAAACTTTTTCTTTTTAGAGTACAATCATATATTATTCATTATAATAAGAATACCAGCCTGTGTTCCGCATATTCTATAATAAATATTTGTCTTTAATATAATTATAAAGTATTAAGAAATTATCCCCTATTTGTTATCATATTACCTAATAATGTTAATGTATTATAATAACAAATACATTACGATGAAAAATAATTTCATAAGATATGTATTTAATATTGTATAAGATGCAATAATATATATAAAGTATAATTTATTTATCTATATTAAAAAAATAAGACATATTATATATTATACATTAAAAAAATTATGTACAATATTATTTCTATTTCCACACTAATGTTTATAAAAGTATATTTAAATATAGAACACTGGGTAGTTGCATACTCAGTGGTATTAATATGTAAAATAAATAATATATGCAATAAAAGAGAGAAATGTTAAGTGAAATGACATTATATATATTTCTTTCCTCTTTTAATATATTGTATATTTGATCATATTTTTTTTAGGTCTTAAACATATTTATTCAAGGAAAATATAACATGTTCTTTTATTGAAGATACCTTTATAATCAACAAATGAGCCCTTTTTCTTTATTTGAATCCTTATTTATAAATTTCTATATGAGATTAAAAAACATTTTTCAAACTCATAAAAAGGAATAAGGCAGGTTTTTCCTAAAATTATATACTTTACATATTTTTTTAAAGCATTATATTAAATAAATAATAAGAATAATTAATTATTACATAATTATTTTATCAAACTAATGTTTTAGAAATATAACTGTGGTATGTAAACATGGTTTTACTATATTAAATAAAATTAATTTATAAAATATATATATAGAAAAACCATAAATTTAGTTCATTACCATAAGAACATCATTGAATATAATTAAAAAAAATATATACATTGTATATTTATGTAAACGTGGTCCATTATTCTTTTATATACAATGATGAACTAACCTGGATTAATTATTTTTTTCATTAGCATTATTTTATAAAAAACTATATTTATATATTTTTTTTCAAATCATTCAAATATATATAGATTTCGAAGTTCCTAATTTAGTTCTTATTATATGTATGTATATATAGCATATAAAGTTTGAAGGGTTTGTATGAACCTTATTATAGGTTTTATTTATATATTGTATAAATATATTTTTCCTTATCTAATTATATATATTACAAATAATAATCTAATACATCCTAATTTTAGACATATTAATTTGCAACAAGTATGTATTATACATCTTTTTATCTTTATTCTTATATATTTTTGAATACAAAAAATTTCCCATTAACAATTATAAAACCATATCATTTTCATGGGTAATTATATACTTTGTATTTTTATTACCACTTAGCGGATATAATCAATGCGAAAAGAATATGTAACTTTTACTTTTAATAATTTTATTATTTGTAAAACTACTTAAATGATTTATCTAATATTATATTATCTAATGTTCTGAATATGTGAGTAGAAAAAATATTGGCTTTATGTAATTATATTTTAGAGAGCTTAACATGGACACTAAATAAGAAGTTAAACCATGCAATATGGTATCGTGATCAGTATTATGATTAGGTTATATTCGCCTTCTTCATGGATAAGCTACAGATTTAAGGATGGATTTATTCGTCATTATTTGAAGGTTGTCTCTACTTCAAGTTAAATATTTTATTATTTATATCTGCTAATTATTCCACATTATTTTGTTGTCTCTATTAATTTTTATTAAGAGAATAAAAATAACTTCAAAACTAATTTTATAATACTCATAAATTAGAAAAGAATTTTCGAAAGCATTGTCAAATATATAAATGGTATAACAATTATGCACATTTCGCATCTTAATAAGAAAATTTGTTACATTATTAAGGAGAAAAATATTGTTATGAAAGCAATCACTTTTTGATTATATTTTTATTTATCACAAATTAATAGATATATATACAACAATGGTTATAATATAATCGTATTCATATTAGTAACATAATCATTAAAATTTGAAACACTGTAAAAATAAGGATTATTATTTATTACGCTATATATATATTATATCATTTATAGTTCCAAGCAGAGTACTTAATTACCGTTAAGTAGACATTTTAAAATCTCTAATGTATTTTAATTATTTTAAATTTTTTTGTGGATAAAAATATTATATGAATACGTATATTTAGTTAGAATTTAAATAATGATCTCAATTTATATTAATTTTTATTTATCTTAATAATAATGAATTTATGTTTACTCTGCATTATTAATCCTAAAATATGTTATAAATTTCCTATTATACATATTTATAAATTGATATTTTTTTAGAGAAAATAATTTAAGATGTAGATTCATGATGTATTATTAATTATTCATGAATATGAACATGTATGTTCTTTGATGTGTACATAAAAAAAATAAAAACTTAAATAGCCTACAATACTAATTTCTAATTTAAGTTTCATTTATTCTTTACTTCTATAATATGAAAAAGACATAAAAATATAAAAATTAATCATATAAATTGTCTAATATCCTATAATTTTATATTAAAAATGTTTTTTAAAAGACTTCCTAAACTTTATATATTAATAATAGTTGAAGAAATATACGAATAAACTATCAAATGTAATGGTTATGTCATTTGCTCGTTAACATTAATTTTCATAATAATTAAAATAAATTTATATGAAAATATTAAAATATGATATTACTTATTATACAATTTTATAATAAAATAATGTAATATGTAATTATGTGTATAGGTTTATTAAACATAAATTTAATCTATAATATAGAATTTTTTAGTATTTTTGAATATTGTACTTATTAAAACGAGCTCTCCTTTTAATCATTTTATATAGTACTGAGGTATTTATTAAATAAGTTACACATTATAGGATTATTTATTTATATACTATATTTTCTTCTATATAACGCAGTATTATATTGTGAGTATTTAATAAAATATATATATTATATATAGAACACTTTTTTCTTTAGATAATCATTATATATTTTAATTATTATTGATAAAACTACACTAAAACTAAATAAAACATAAAATCAATAATATAATAACATATATAAGAATGAAAGAATAAAGAGTAAAATTCCATTTCTCAATGGAAGAAGGTTATTTGAATATAATATTATATTTATATAAAATATCAAATATATTAAATACTTGAGGCACAGGATATATTTTAATATAATATATTAAAATTATTGCAAATTTAAAATATAATTACACATTTATAAAAATAATTTCATTACAAACAAAATAAAATATTAAAATAGAAGTATTACATAATTGTATTCTATTTATTTTTCATAAATACTATTTATATATATATTTTTCAGAAAATAAATAGAAATAAGAAATTGGGGTATAATTTAAATACTTATATATTATACATTTAAAAATATAATTAACAATCATTATATACTCATATATTATTAAATATTCAATCCAATATACATGTATGGATACTACACTCAAAGCAATGAACACATATATAAATTCATTTGTATTGCCGTGTATGCAAAATAGCAAATTTAAAAATAATAAAGACTTAAATAAAATTTCTAAAAACTAGTACATGTATAACATTTCACCTATTTATTATAAAATAATGGTTAAATATGCTGATATGATCCTATATATACTTACGTTTATGTATACGTTTAAAAATATGCAATTATAATTAAAGCACAAAAAATATAGTAGCACAATTGAATATATATGTAATTAAAAATAATAACTGCAATTAATATGCAATAGGTAAAAAGTTCAACAAATATAATAAATATGAAATATGAATATGTACTATAAATACAAGAATTAACAATGTATATAAATGAAAACTGATATAAACTCTTAATATATGATTCAAATATACTCTTGTGTATAAAGAAAAAAAAGTACAAGTACTGAATGCTATAATAAAATAATTTATAATTATAACATTAATATAATATGGAATAAAATTTGACGAATGTCCTAAAATATGTAATAAAAAATTATCGATTTTAATTACAAAAATAATTATGCTTATTATATCTTTATCAATAATAAAAAAAAAATATAATTTTATATTTATATTAAAAAAGAAAAGAAAATATTTTCATTATTTCAAATATATTATCATGAGAATAATCTATTGTAATATATTAATTATAATATACGTACATCAATTAATAATCTATAGAATTAGCATATGCTGTAAATCGTCCAACAGAAAAACCTAATAACAAGAACTAAAATCATGAACCCTGAACCCTAAAGTATCTTCTATGTCTTTACGTTATTTTTTAACAAACAATCATATTGTCCTTTTTACCAAAATACTATATACATAATTTTCGTATATATCTAAAAGAATTATGAAAACATACAACATTTTACAGATATTTAGGACCATATTATAATTAGAGTAAAAAATGTATGATTATTTTATTATCATATTATTTCCATCAACTGTGCAGATTTATTTAGGAGAAAATTGTATTTGCTAATATAATGTATAATTCTTTATAAAAAATTATATATATGTGCTCTTAAACTTCATCATTTCTTTGAATTAATCAGAAAAAGCGTATAATCACATTTAAAATGGCAAAATCTATAGTAGGTTAGAATTATTGTAATATCAATTACAATATTATAATAATTGTATATATATATTTTCGTAATATTTATATAAAATCATTCATAAGCACATAATTTTTTTTTTGTAATACTATATTTTCATTATATTTTAGTATGAATCTATATATTTGACATTTTCTGAATGCAAAAATGTTATGGATTACTTAATTACACAAAATGATTTATTCGTGAATTCCTGTAATAATATTAAAAGTAAATATTTAAATGTAATTATTACTAATTCCGAAGCAATTTGTTGCCAAGCTATGAAATATTTATATCAAATATATAGTAAAACGTCCCAATATGATGGATTAAATGAAGTCTTTTTTAAATACTTCTTTTATTGGTTATATAAGCACACACTAAATGAGGAAAAATATACTGTAGCTCTAAATGATTTTTATTCGGAATTAATAGAAATAGCCCATACTAATCCTACTTTACAAAGTTATTTAAATACAGAAAAAAAAAATTATATGTTTAGCAATTTACATATAATCAAAGATATAGATGATATTAAGAAAGAGATTGCTAATATAAATGAATTTGATAATGGAATATATGATGATGATAAGTACAAATCTGTCAAAAAATGTCATGATATATATAATAATCTCAGAAGTACATGTGGATCAAACTGTAACTCTGAATTAAACAGTGTATTAGAACTCATTAGAAAAGATATTTGTGATGAAAAATTAGTCAGTGGATGTAACATTAGTACATCTAAAATATTACCCACATTTCAAAAATATAATTTAGTAATTTGTACTTCAGTAACTCTTGTTATTATATTATTAATATCCTGCGTTCTATATTTTATATATTAGGCCAATAATAATAACATATATTCTATAAAATGACAGTCAAAATAATTTAAAAAAAAACATAAATATCCTTAAAAAATTACATCTACTATTCGTTATATTTTTTTTATTAGTTCACACCATATGGTTCATATTTGTATGGTAATTTAAAAAGGACAAGAAATGCATTTAAACATACATATGAAAAAAATGATATAATGCATCCATATGAACCATGTGACGATGATTCATGGAATAGGAGATATAATGTGTTATATAATTCTTCTTAGTATATGAATAAATATAATTTAAAACAAAATATTTCATTTAAATAGCATACAAAAAGAACAAATTATATGTCGTTGAGATACAGGATATTAGAATTTTCACACAAAAATGAAATAGGAATTATAATATAATAAAAAATATATATATTAATAGATAAAATTAATATAACAATTCTGATGAATGTTAAAGATATTATTTAGTTCATAATGTATAATTAAATATAAGAACACTTAAATTTTATAAATTTATCCTTTTAATATACTATAGTTTGAATTAATATAATATATTTTTGTTATGAAATGACATTCCATATATATAATAATATAATGTAATTGAAATAAGGTATTTACATATCATGCTACTCTATTGTAATACATTGTTAAAAAATATACATCCAATTATCAAATAATATTGATGAAACTTTATTTTTAGTATAGATCATTATTATAATAGTCATATGATGTTTTTTTACACAATATATTATTTTACCTCAAATTTATGATATATTTGTGTGAAAATCTATTAGATATAACTTTTTATATGCAATTGAGGGGACATGAATACTAATATATCATTAATTCATATATTTTTTCATTTATTTCCTTTAATATTCTGTTCTATATTAAAATATATATTTTTCTTTCGTTATGTGAATAACATCAAAAATTTTCATAACATATATAATATTGAGATATATAATCTCAAATGTACATTAATTGAAATATAAAAACATAGTCATTTATTTTTTTTCAAATGTGTTTTAACAATTTATATTTACATATTTAATATATAATATATGGGAATTTGATTAACTATACTTTAATACATTACATTTTGCGTAATTCGTATTATTATTACTTTATGCCATGAAAAATATATAAGGAATAATATATAAAATATATCATGTGTACAGTGCATTTTATTATAATAATATAAATTATTACAGAAAGCCTCATTTCTAATATAAACATACCTGTGCGAAATTTATCTATGAAACGCATAATTATAAAAATAATCATAATGTGGAAATATTAATCCTTTTGAACGTAACATATATAGGTATATATAAACAAAATATATGTTCAAAAAAAACATTTGACAAAAATTATTTGTCATTTACTAAATAAATACAATGTCATCTAATAGTTGCTTCTACAAATTTAAAATGTGACATAAAAACCTGGTTTATTTTAATAATTTGTTATTCACATATATCTCTAAAATTTTTTTGTATTTTTTATTTTTAAGCATGGAATTACTTATCCATGAAAATCTTGTTACATACAATTTTATATATAATTAAATCGAAAATATTATTAATAAACCAAAAAATATAAAAAGCATATTTAAATAAAAATAAGTTATAAATATTTAATAAAACGATTCCAATATTTTGTTATATTTTTCATAACATATATATAATTAATGTTAACTAATGTTTAAATAACTATATGTTTAAATAGGTAATAACAATGGGTATTTACAAAAAATAGAATTCTGTTGTAACCATATAAAGCATTAGGATTTTTATAATGAGAAAAACATTAATAAAATATGTATTCTCAATATATAAATATTTACCTTTATGTTGTATATTACAACATATAGGAATTATGAAACATGCGAATTATAACATTTACTATGTGTATTAATATATAAATGATGTATGCTTTTGTTTAAGATATATTGTTTATTTAAACGAATTAATCATATCTAAGTTTTCACATATATGTATATAACGATATTAATCATGTGATTTCATGTTTAAAATATATTTACTATATTACATATAAAATTTGGAGCTAGCATAATTTCATCATTTTATAGAACAATACTAGCAGCTATAATTAGTCGAATAGGAAATTTTCTAAATGTATAATGATAGATTTAGTAAATAATATTGATTTTAATTACCTAAATCATATAACCATTGAAAAATTCAGGAAAATTCTTTTTCACAAACTTTAATTTCCGTAGGGATAATAAGTTGCACTTAATCCAAAGAATTATAGATGACATAAGTACAATTAATTAAATTAAATAAGCTTTAATGCATTATATACTTGTATAATTCATTAAAATATACTATCTTTATAAGGATGAAATATGTTTTAATAAATGTTTACCCTCTGATATATTAAATATTTGATTATTTGTTCCATATATAATTTATATTAAATAACTTGAATTCAGTTTTAGGTAATAATTATACATTATTATTCATTATATTACATATAAATGTAGAAAATAATAATAAATTGATAATTATAGTTTGAAAAATAATTAATATTATCTATCTATATACATATATATATGTACCTTCTTTCCTAATATACAAGTTCCATGCCTAGTAATATTAATTAAATAAAATTATAGTTTCAATAATGACAATAAATAAATAAAGTATAAAAATTTAATATTTATATTATTTTTAATTAATTCAATAATAAAAGGAAAAAATGTTTATTACGTTGTAAAACGTACACATGACTACTGTATTTTTTTTATATATTCAATATTTATAAATAGCAGAATCTAAAAAAATATATCATCACATACCCTAAAATTGACAAAGAATAATATGAATTGGATAAAATTATTTCTTCTATTATATACATATCTGGATCCTTGCATGCTTGTGTGCATTTAACAGAATTTAACTATTCCTATTGAATAAATTATATATAATATTTATGTTATTTTTTACTTAATTAAGTGTTAAAATAATGTTAAAATCTTGGAACAAAAGAATATATAAACATATTTATAGTATTATGACATTGTTATGTATTATGCATCAATGTATGATACATGGAATGCATATGAATATATATATTTTAAGGAATCATCATATATTCATTATAATAAAATATCTATAAAATATAGCATCTTAATCTGTGAATCCAGAAAATTATTTTCGAAATAACATAAATTGTGAAAGCAAATGATGTATATAGGTAGTATTTATGATGGTTCAAATTCAAATATATATATGTATAAAGTATAATATAAATTCTACGTAAATAAACTTTTAGAATTTTTCACGACTAAACTCAATATATGCTTACATGTATAATAAAAAGTATATATATCTAATATAGAATTACTTTACAGCATTATTCCTATATAAAAATAAATACATAATAAAAACTAAAAATGTACATAATATACAAAATATATCTAAATCTCAAGAAATATAATGTGAATCCAATTGATAATCATTCTTCTTTGTATATATAATAATAAATAAAATAATTTATGAAATTATTTGCGAATACAAAACCCCTTTTCCTAAACACAAAGATATCACAAGTATCTTTAACTCCATAACTTTAGATATAAGTTTAAAAACTGTATAATAATCCAATAAAATATTATTATATTAAATTGATGTATTAAAGCCATTTATTAATTTATATAATCTATGAATTGTTTTATTTTTACGAGTTTTCTGTGACAAAATATTTATGGAAATAATTTTTTTAGATTATTCAACATTATTTTTATAGAAATCAATTTATTTGAATTATATATATATATTTGTTAAATTATATGGTCCTATATAACATATTATAACTACTGTTCCAACAATTATTCTTTGATAATTCTGATTTTTTCGATTTATCCCGTTCTTCGTTCATAACACGCCACTTATTTATTATCCTTTTTATGCCACCATGTATGTATGAATTATATGGAAGGAACTAATTTGTATTAAAATAAAATTATACGTTAAAAATATATTAATATTGTAATTTGTTTTTTTTAATTTTTTAAATATATTATTATATTATATAAATATGTATATCAACATCACATTTAACCTTATAAATTATAAATAGTAAAGCAGGTATTAGTAATACAAAAATAGTTGATATTATAGCATCTTTTGGTGTACTTATTCTGGAAGAGCGTAACTCTATATTCTTAATATAATCACAAGGTAAAATTTTGCATTTAGCCTTACCACATTTATCAGTTGTATTTTGTAGTTCATTATAATATATATTTTTTATATTTTCTAATGCTGTACAAAATTGGCTAGTATTATTGGATTTACAAGTTTCACTGTGCCTTTCATATATATCTGAACACTCAGTTATACATTTGCATGTATTATTGCAAGAGGGACATGATTTTTTTATGCAATAAAGCTTATTATGTATGTTATATAAGTCGTCGAGTTTTGTCAGTTCATTATATGGAATAGTAAAAGATCCCTTATAATATGGGCATAAGGAATTGTTAGGATTACTACTTACTATACTAAACAATAATGGATAAATTTCATTGGTATATTCACTTATATTATTATCCTTAAATTCATTGTACAACCAATAATACAAGTAGAAGCAACGTTCTTCTGTAGATTCACTTATATAATTATTCTTTATAATATTTGCAAAGGACAAGGCTGCGTGGCATTTATCTTGTTTGAATCTATTTTTTATATGATCTCTTGCTCCAATAACACCATCAGTACATGGGTCACGAGAAAATTTCAAAAATTCCCCATTATTTTCTATAATTTCATTAAATTCAGGAAAATTTTTTACGTAAGAGTACTACGATAATAATGATAAATACACAACTAGTATAATACTCTGCTTAAAACATTTCATATTTTTTATGGAAAATGGAATATATTTAAATCATATCAATGTACAATATACGTTAATATTAATAACTTACATTAACTTCTTTCATCGCATAATATATTATATAATTCCGCAAATTATATAATGAAAATAAATAAATTTATGATCATACATATATATTTAAAAAGAAACCCATAAAATGAGGTAGCTTACAATTTAATCTTTAAAAATTATAGAATTCATGATAATTTGTCATAACGTTTCTAAATTATTAATAATCATACTGCTATTAATAAAGTAGCAAATACAAGTGACAAATAATATATTTTATTAATTAATAATTGGGAGAATGAAAAATATATATACATTATTTATAAAAAGTAATCTATATTTATTTAAAAAGTATAATATTATTGTTTCCTTTCTAAATAAGAATTAAATAACTTTGCTAATTCTAGATATAATATACATATATATATAATGATAATATGTCTTATTAATTTGAATTCGCATAAAATTGCACAGATAGGATTCTCTTGTAAAGGCTATAAGGTTTCATGAATACACACAGAATATCATATTTACATTTTATTAATTTAATTCTTTATTATAATCCTATTAAATAATATTCCTTATAACAAAATTATGTGAATTCTCTTTATTTAAACGAACTACTTATAAATACAATGAAAAATATATACTAGTGGGTCAATACTTTATACTGTTTAACAGAATTATAACATATTTCTTATGAATTAATATTTAATATGCATATTGTTATTCATTTTTTTTTTTTCGAATTATTTATACATTATGAGTAGATTTACAGTATAATAAAAAATAAAATCTTTTTTATGAATCTCGGAAGTTCCATTTCGAATTATATATAAATACACAACAGAAACATTGGTTACATTAAGAATATACATAATACATGTAATTCTCACAATTATAATATTTTGTCATTTAAATATATCAAATTATACAATCAAATAACATAACAATAGATGTGTCTATCACAAATAATAAATTTAGAACATAATCAATTTATATATTTTTTTTCCTTTTAAATTTTTTCAACTATAGTAAAATTATATTTGAAAAAAAAAAAAGAATTTAATTTTTTTTTTTTTTTTTTTTCTATATTCAATATTAAAATATGGCAACTCTAAATTACAATATACTTATATATACAGTATAAACATTAAAACAAATAATTTTTTTTCTTTTTATTTCTACATATACTTATCATGCCGTAATAAATAATGTTTTATATTATCATTTCTTATAAAAATAAAAAAATATATAATGAGTTATTGAGATTTCTTGTTTAAATATAAATTTATTTTTATATTTTTGAAGAAACATCAAAATATAGAAAATACATTAAAAATATTACATTTATAGTGAATAACTTTTGTTAAGCCATGTATTACGCATCATAATTTATGATAATAGATATATAAATTAAATAATTATATTTAATATATTTATTTCTTGTTTTATGTTTACATTAAGCTATTGTTATAACTTATAATAATATGATGCTTTATATATTTTAATTTATTCTATATATATCGCACTTTTATTCGAAAATATATATGATATAGTATTTAATATATATGATCATTGCTTATACATAATATATATTTTTATGAATGTTTATTCTATTCAGAGCTATATTACATTTAATAAATTATAAATACATATCTACACAATTTATTAATATATATTTACTATTATGTTCTATATATTCAAGAATATGTAACTGATATATATTTACAAATTTAATAAATTTCTACAATTTCGTAATAACAGAATCCAAAATTACTAATGAACAGAGCAGTACTATATATTAATTAATATATACACTATAATATAATAATATAAAATATTTTATTATAATATTGTAATACATGTAATGAAATAATTGAAAATAAACTTGATATTAAATATGTTCTCTTTATATATTTATTTTTCAATTATTATTAAATTAATAATTTAAGACAAGTAGTACTGATTTTAATTTTAATCTTTTTGGATAAAAAATTTATAAGTGTTGAATAATATCACAATCATGAGTTTAATCAAAATAGAAAAATATAAAATACATATTTTATTGCGTTTAATAATATAATAGTTTTGAATTACTAAAGTAGTTTCTATTAGAATGAATTTTTTGTTTTTATAATTTAACTACACATAAATAAATTGTAAGTACTAATAAAAGATTAAATAAATATTACTGAATATTATTCTACTAAAAATCATAAAAAATATTTATCATGCATTTTATTTGTTGTTCATAATAACATTAAAAATGTTATGACATTCATGTTCATTTTATTATAAAAAAATGTATGTAATTTTACAGGAGAGCTATTTGCTGAATTAAATACTTGCATATACATTTATAAATGAACAAAAAAATATATTATTATAATATATAAACTGTATATTACCAATATATATCTTATGCGAAGGAGAAATAATTAAGATTACACAAAAAGGGGCGACACTTATGCTAAAGAAAAAGTTGATGTATTTAAATAATTTAACAAAAGTTAGTGTGATCACTAAATTAATGTAACTAAAAAAATAAATATATGATTATATATATGTACTACAAAATGTATAAGAAATATACAAAAAAGTAATTTCATGATAATATTTATATAAATTATGTATATATATATATATATTTCACTTAGGTATTACATAAAATTCTATTATGTATACATATATATATGTGTTATTAAAATTACCGTCTATAAATAAATATTATACAAGGAAAATTTTATGAATACTAAAGCATAAAAATAATATGTCATTATAATAAAGCTCGATGAAGGACCGAATACATTATATCTTTATTTAATTATTATAAATATCGTTTCCATATAATACGTTTTAATTCCATTATTAATATAATAAAAATGATATATTTATTTTTATTTAATTTCATAATTTGCATATCATGCTAACACATAATTTTATTTATTAAATATTCATCATGTACTGTACATATTCAGATAAATATTTTGTGAACACATAACAGCAAAAATTATTAGTATCTTATAATGTTAAATGTATGATCCATATACACATATATAACGTATAGATATATATTGTTCTTTATATATTGTACTATTAATAAATATTATTATCCATAATAATATATTAGAATTAAGCATATATCATAATATTTTTTGGGACCATAATAATACATAGATAATGTAAATATGAATTAATATATTTGATGTTATTTTTTTACTAATCTAATTATTAATGATGTTCCCAAGTTCCTACACATTTCATAATTTACTATTTAGTTATTTTATACACAAACATAAGATAATCATTAATATATATAAGGATACATTTTTAGAGCTGTCATATATATTATTTAAATAATTCTATTTATGTCATACTGTAATTTAATTAGAACAATTGTTTCTTATGTATAATTATATATATCATATAAGGGGACGTTTAAAATTTTAATATAATTTTTTTTAATTATTTTTTTTTATTTTTTATCGTATATAATACTACAAAGTATTTCTTTTTAATTTTCACTCTTAATATCAATAATTATTTCTTTTCTTAATTTGAAGTAAAAAACAATTTCCATATTATAAAAAATATATTATACAAGAATAAGAAAAATATATTAAAATTGAATATTCGTACCTTTTACTATTTAAATATTATACAAGGCTATAAATCCATATTTTTTTTATGCATATTAAATTTATTGTAATTCTTGATAAACAAATATATTTATGGTTCATTAAGTGTTTATATTTCAATATTTAAGCATTCTTTTCTTTTAAGTATATATTGTAAGAATAAAAAAGATTATTATATAATTTTATTGTAATATTTATATGTTTTTATTTTTTAAATTATTTTTTCATTTTCTATAGAAAATTCTTTCTTATTGTTTTATTTATTTCATTAATGTATTGTTTTATAACTTGGTCCATATAATTAGTAGTTTTCTGGGATATATGAAATATGGTGTCTTCTATTTTTTGAAACATCGTATTTCTTTTCAAAAGAATCCATAATATCTCGATATTCATTGTTCTCATTTTTGATGAACATGTTCTTTATCTTCCTCATCCTTGATTGTATAAATGATCCCCATCGCGTATACTGTTAATAAAGAAAAACGATGACCTTCTCATACACAGAATATTTATTTTATGTAAATATTTCATAGTAATAAATAAATCTAATTTTATAACAATATATATTTAATAAATATAATTTCATTTTTACCTTATACAAAATGAAAACAATTATAGATATAGTAAAAGGTAAAATAACAAATCTTGTATCTGTTGATGATATAATCCCTACTTTTGTGATTACTGCTTGATGTGAGTTTGTCCCCCGTAGTGGGCTTGTCTTCTCTGCTTGTTTTATATCTTTTACTACTATTTCTGATTCTACTGTGGCTGTCGTATTTACTGGGTTTCCTTCCTGTGCTTGACTTGGTATAGCCTCAGGGGTCCGTGGAAACAGTTCAATTTTTTCAAGACTAGAGCATATCTCAATATACCTAGTATTAAGCATTGTAAGCATATCTCTGAAATCAGCATCATTCTTATATTTACATGATTTTAAATGTGTCATATATTTTTTATACATATTCTCTTCCGTCCTCCAGCAGCTATAACCTTTAGAGGTTACCTTATAAACAGTTTCATATAATTTTTCCAGATAATTAAAAATTTCATATGTATCATCATCAATTTCTATTATATGTCCCTCACATATACCAAGTATATCGCTCATTTTTTCATTCTTTTTTGCATTTTTCAATTTTTGATAACAATCCTTAATAGTTACACATTTATTATATTTATTTTTCATTAATTCCTTAAACTTGTAACTGAAATATTTACAACATCTATCATTATTTCTTTTGAGGTTTATATAATATAAGCAGCGACCAAGATTAGTACATGGAAAGAGAAAATCAGATGATTTATTATTTTTTTTTACTGCATTGCCAAAATTATCGCACACAAATGACAGTCCCAGTGTTTGCCCAATTTTAACATACGCATCCTGGGCAACAATAAAATCATAAACACATTGGGGAAATATGCCATCAAAATTAATCTAAGAATAAAGGTTTTATTACATAAAAGACATTAAAACGATATATTTAAGAGAATGTTTTTTCACAAATGTCAAAAATAATGATATTTTAGATAATTTAATAAAAAATAAAATGTTTATAAGAATTAGCAACATACATTTTGAATCCCATTATCGGACACATCCATTGAGTAGTATATATTTAAATTACTATAGTAATAAATGTATTTTTTTATTTATTAAACACATTTAGATATTCAAAATATAATAATGTTATAATAATGGAATATATATTAGTTTATATAATTTTATAAACTTTACAAAAACATTTAAACTTAGAATTTTATTAGTTTTATTGATAAATATATGAATATATAGTATATTATTATTCTATAGATATTATAAAATCTATATTTCATATAAATCAGTAATACGTAAAATATATTTCTGATATAGGTATTTATAAAATAATTATAAATAAAAAACTCTATATTTGTAACAACGCTATATATATTGCAATTAAGTATATTAGGTATTATTCTCTATAAAAATATGTATAATAACTATAATAATATTATCGTTATATTTATCATAAATTTTTTATTTATATATTTTTATTTTATTCATTCACTGGATAATAATGTATTTAATTATAATGAATTATTATGTATTACATTTCGAATAATATTTTCAGTTGTATTTTTGGTATTATGTCATTACGAAAAATACATACATTTATAATAATTTCATTACACTTATGTAAAAATTAATATGCATATAATAATATAATTCAATTATATGTATTTTCTTTTTATTTATATTTGATTCAGAATAATTAAGTATGAATTAATATTATATAAAAATATGCATTATTATATGATACAATTTAATTTAAAATATTAATCATTTGCATATAAAATTATAGTTAAATAATTACTAATCTTTGTTTTCTTTTATAAAAGTATATATATATCAATAGTAATTTTTCATTTCAATATATATATTTTTTAATATACTTTTAATTGCAAGGTTATATTACGAAATCTTTATTATTCACTTAAATCTCATGAATATTTATTATTTTTAATGTTTTTTTTGTATTCATTGAAGTCATGTATATAATTAATAATATAATAGTCTAATAACTATATTAAATTAAAATTATATTATAAAATGCACATATTATTTTATTCGTGCATTATTATTCAGGATTATTTTGCTATAATTATTCCTTTTTTAATATACATATTTTAAACATATTATAACATATTAATTAATGCGTTCCATATATTCCTCATTAAATTTTTGGAATGTGAAATAAATAATGATTATAAAAAATATTCAATTTTTGAATAAAAAAATTTAAAGAAAATAATATTGAAATTGATAATTGTTTTAATAATATAACGTGAATTACTTTATTATTCTTATACAATACATTACAATAATTTTTATTAATCCTAATATAGGAATATAATAAGTAAATAAATAATATATATATAACTTGTAAAACATAATAATTTAGTGTGCAACGTGTTAATTTTTCTGGAGAATAATGTAATAGTAAATATAATTTGAATAATATAATATTTATTAAAACAATAATAAAGTATTATTATGATATAACTTCATCAAAATTTACTTTATATTATTATGTATTTATTACCAAATAATAAATATAATTTTATCATAAAATATATCATTTTAGGATATGATAAATATTCTGAATATTACAAAAATTATAATGCGTTAAATGCGTCATTCACATTTTGTTATAAATACATCAAGTTAATTACAAGAGTAAAATATTAGGGAAAGTATATATATTTCCTTAGCGTGATTCTCACTATTGTGAATTAGTTTATTTAATTATATTAGTAATATATCTATTTAATATATTATTATAAGTGTTTAAAAATTTGTACGAAAAAAAATATATATACAAAGTTATCGATCCTTTTATTCGTAATAAATTAATATAATTTATAATTTATTTCCTTAATTATCATGAAAAATATTATATTCTTTCTAAAATTAACTCTAATATATATTATATTAGTGAATATTTATATATTAATTCCCTTTATATTAATTACCATATATTTTTGTATGGAATAACAGAAAATCTAGTGTTGAATTATGTGTTATATCAGCATATGCCTTACATTATTATTAAAATATGTATCCATACAAATGATGAAAAAAAAATTGCATTATAATTTTTCATTGTATCTACAGCAACAAAAGTAATTATATTAATTAAAAAAATGATAAGATTTTGAAAAAAATTAAAGGATAATTCCAGAATAGTCTTAAATAATTTAAAGAGTAATTTATATAAAATTATAAGCAAATTGTTTGAAGAAAACACTATATATTAATACCAAAACTTAAGAAAATTGGTGCACATTACAGCCCAAGATCTAATGCATCAATATAATGAACTGTTGAGTTTAATAAATTATATCATATTAATGTAAAATTAAATTAAATTTAATTTTGATATTATTAAGTGGATACTAAATAATACAATAAAATATGTAAATTTAGTGGCTTTTTTTATTTTTCTAATATATAACAATATAAAATATAATATTTGTATGAGTAATTATATCATATGTGTAGTATAAAGAGAAATTTTTTATAAATGGTAATATATTATTGTGCAATATAATTATTATAACATTCATATAAGATCATATAATCTGTTTAAAGTAGTTATTATATAGATAGTTTCACAAATACAAGAAGAAAATTATATTCATATTAATTATTAGTAAATATAATTGACTATGCTATTGAAAAAATAGCTTTTACAAAACTCAGTAACTTTATGTATAATTATATATTGTTATGAATTCAAAATGAAATCATTGTGAGATACATATATATTCTATTCTTCTTAGTAATATAATGAAATATATAATAAGCATGTTAAAATTTTTTTTCGTAATTTTAGTGTTATATATGTTTATAGGTTAAGGAATATCTTGAAAATTAAAAATGTATGTAATATCCGGTAAAACATTTACAGTAAAACATTGATGTTATTATGATAATATAATATATATCCAGTGAAATGGATTCCAAAAATTGTCACTATATTTTGATTAATGTATCAATACTTCTAGGAAGGTTTTCTAAATTCATAAATCATAAGAATTTTAATATTTTATGAGACCAAATTCGTCTTATACTTTTTGTGATTATAGTAATATACATAATAATTTCACAAATTCTATTATTGAAAGAAGTTATGAGTACAGAATAATAACAGTTATAGTTTATAATTTAAATATATTTAATCAAAAAGCAACTAATTACATTTAAAAATATGATAACAAACATTTTGTTATCTAAGGCACCTTGTGAATGAACACCATAGATTTGAATTAATACTACTAGATTACTGAAAATATGTGTTTGGAAAATATTTATTAAACTATTTCATTATAAATAACATATGTTATATTAAATAACATTTTTTAATAATATTATGGAGATATTATATTAACATAAAAAATAATATTTTTTCTATTTTAATTTTTTTTTTATGTATTTTATGAAATTTGAATAAAAATTTTAATTTAAATTAATTTTTATATCGTAATAAATTCATTAATACATCATTAAAATATTTCTATTATGTAAAACCTTTGTTTTTAATTTTCTTATTTTTATTACTTAATATATTTTTTCATTCCATAAAATTATTTTCGATAATAATAATGAGAAAAATATCGAATGAATTATGAAATGGAATAAACATTATAACACGAAATTCTTATATGTTATGAATAAGTATAAAAAACTGTAAAAACAATATATTGTCACATTACTCTTAGCAAACATAATATATATATATAGTGAAAAGAAAGTCCATTTAAAAGAAGTTAATATGGAAAATATTACACGGATCCTCATTATATATTTAGAATATGAAGATTTATAGTTATAAGCAATGAAAATTATATAGGATAATTTTCAATGTTAACTATAATATGTTTTTCAATATAAAGCAACATGAAAAGAATTATCTTATTGAACTTATTATCATTGAAAATTATAATGGGTTAAACATATAGCAACAATAATGTATTATCATTTTTAATAATATGTCTTTTTAAATAAAATTATTTCTATAATTAGGAATCAAAAGAATATAGCCTTTCATAAATATAGTATTATAATCTTATTATTAAGGATTTATATGTATTACAAATCTAACACAATTCAGAATGTGATTAGATTTAGGTTTTAGGGTTTAGTTGTATTAATCGAATATTACACTATTATATCATCCATATTTGGCTTTATTATTTGTTAACTAAGCTGTAATATTATATTAGTTACAGG